AAGCGTATTACAGTAAACCTATCAGGTCTAAGATGATACACCTTCCACGTCCCCCATGCCTAACAGAGACTAAAAATAAATAGATAAGTAAAAGAATATTTACACAAGAGTTTTTCTAACTTTAAAAAAAAAATGACCTCTAGCAAGAGACACACTAAGCCTATCACAGATTTGTAAACCATTGTCCATGATAAAGCTCAAAGTTTAAGTCTTCGGGGTTGAAGTAAGGTAAAGATGGAAAACAACCTCACCAACCTCTTTTCCCAGAAAGAGACCTAGGCGGAGAGTGACAGCACAGCTCTCCAAAAACTGCCTGAGTCAGCAAGGAAAAGAACAAAGTGTAGAATGCAAGACTCTGCTCCCTAGAACCGAACAACACTCAGCTGTTTGCCTATGAATAGGTTCCCTGTGGGACAAACTCCAAAACCACTATGAGGAATGACAAAAGAATCTACCCGAGAGGCTGTCTGGCTAATAACTCTTTCAACCACAACCTTCTCAGCCAGTCATCCCGAACGAATACATTCTAGCTACCTCATAAGCCTGATGCAACCAAGTGCTAGAATACTTTCTTTCTAAGAACGTGCTCAACCAGTGGGAAGTCGGTGCCATTTTAATTTCAGCTAACATGTTGCATCCAGACTTTGAAAAATTGTGATGTCTACTAAAAACTGGGGAGGCATGATACACCTATAGATGCTACTAGCGTAGCTAATTCCAAATTCCTGAAGGAGCTGGGAATGAGTTGATAAAGCAACCCATTAATGTTACATCATTCTCCATGCTCTGCTGAGGTCCCCAGAACTCTATTGACTATAACAGAGGAATCAGAGTTCTCAGGAAAGGAGGTAATTTTCCAGGTGAGTCCTCTGAAAGAAGCAGCTGGATATATCCTAGAGTAGGACAGCCTGGGGGTTTGCAGTGGAATGGTCTTAGTTTTTCAGATAATCATCTGGGTGTCCCTGACTAAGTCACTTGCACATTCAAAATCTCTTTTCTTGACTTGTCAAATGCAGCATTTGGGCCAAAATCTCCACCAGCTGTAAAATTCTATAATTCTCTAGGTAATAGTTTGCTGCCTTGCTGGCAAGGCTGCCCTGATAATCAGAATGATCCAATTAACACTCTGCAATGTGGAATATTCTATTCGTAGTTTCCAAAAATGGACTCTTTTGGAATGGAAGGAGTTCAGATCATGAAATCCAGTCACTTTGTTTTTTAAAACAAATAAAGAATCTGAGGTCCAAAGACGTTAAATAACTCTATTAAATTACAAGCTAGTTAGTGGTAGAAGCGAGACTAAGGCTGCCTGACTAGTCCTGTTTGCAATAAACCGCACTATTGCGCGGTTGGCTTCAGACTGCCTTCTTCACTAGACGCTGCTCTGCGCTCGCCCCCATGTGATCCACAGTGCGGCGTTTACACCTCCCGTTAAATGCTGCCTACATCACGGCTGTGCTGCACTGGTGTCAGGCTTATTAGTTCTCCAGGCACCTAATTCAGGAGACATTTGAAGAATGACCTGAAGGTCTTCATGAAAATGTGCCCAGGATAAAATACTTTCAAAAGTCCTATGAGGTTTGTCTGAAAGAGCAAATATCTACACACCATCCACTTGCTTCCCATTTTATCAAATAAGTATTTTATAGGTAGGAAGATCCTAGTGAACCCATGTCTGACCCAACAACTTTAGAAACCAGACTGCAGCCTCAATCGCATAAACACCTCGTCGCTCTGGCTCCAGGCCACTGTGACAGCAGGACAGCACCCCTGGCATATATCTGGAGACTCCACAGGTAGGTACCCACACCACCTGACAGCACAGGTACCGCCCTGCCAGCAACTCACACAGACCCTGCACCTACTTCTGGCTGTGGACTGCCCACGGCTGCTGGGGAACCACAAAGGCTACACTGGAAAACTGCCCCCACCATGTCCCCAGGCATGGAATCTTCGGAGGGACGGCTCTGAAAACCTTTTAAGGACAACCCGGGAATTTCTGTGCAGGAGCAATGCCACATGCCACCCAGTATGCTGCACTTTGTTCCAACATGAGACAATTTGTTCCAAAGAGCACAACTGGCTGCTAGACATTAAACCCCATATGATGTTGGATCCAGTGACTTAGTCAAATCTCTCAGACATAATGACGTGTGAAAGAAGCCAGACACAAACGAGTACATGCTGTATGAGTCCATCTCTATAAAATCAAAATAAAATAAAAAGCAGACAACACCGATCTATTACGCTGATAGAAGTCTACATGGTGACTACCTCTTGGGTGGGGCATGCTGATGGGAAGGCAGCACAAACAGCTTCCGAGATGCTGGAAATGTTCGATTTCTTGATCTGGTTACACATGTGTAAAAATATTTAAGAATTCATCAAGCTATATACTTCAGATACGTGCATTGTACTGTATGTATGTTATATCTCAATGAAAAATTAAAATATCATGTAAATATGGAATAAACTTCTTCCATTCCTTTAGCATATGTGAGATTTTCTGAATTGAGTGTATTTATTGTGTTATTATTAGTAATAACAATAGCTAAATTAAATGCCTATATGGACGAGGCCCTGTGCAGGGAGATTTACATGAATTATCCCCTTCAAGTCCTCAAAAACCCTCAATAAGGTAGATACCACCTATATCTCCATTTCTCAGATGAGAAAAATGAGGGGCAGAGAAGTAAAAGAACTTGGCCAAAGTCACACAACAAATACAATAGCAGAACTGGGATTTGAACCCAAAGTAGTCTCCCTCTACAGCCTTTTTCCTAATTGATGTTAATGTTTTGTCACGTGCTACAGAATAAGAGGATTTTTTTTAAGTTTGATGATATTTAATTGGTTTTGTCCTTTCCCCAGTGCCTGAGAAGCTCCTTAACCTTATGATACAGTTTGCATGCTCAGCATTAAAAGGAAAGAGAAGCACAGCTTGGGTGATGGGTCTAACAGCCTCATAACTGCTTACGTTCTGGGGTTCATGCAGGAGACACACCTCACTCGGTCCAAGGGTCAGTTTTCCTTGCCCTTAGTAGGAGAAAGTGGGTGCCATTATTGGCTTGTGATAGTTGGACATTATTTCTTTCCCTTAAAAGAGACGCACAGTGGGGGCAGCACAGAGTTTTATATGCTATTCACTGGGCTTTCTGGAACACTGTGTCCTCGGATGAAATTTCCACAGCATGCCACAGGCTTTTAAGATCTGCTTTAGACCTTTTGAAAAGATGAAGGAGGCTTGTTTTCCTGTTTTCCTAGCCTTTATATTTTTATTATATTAAATATAATGTATCTGTGGAACCTGAAGAAGGCATTAGTCACTCTTTAATTATAAAATGCATAGCTTGTTATTTTCCAGACACACTTTTTTTTTTTTTTTATCTTTTATGGCCTTCTCAATTAGTTTCTCTGAAGTTCTTATATGAAAACCTGTTGGATCTTTGATTTCTGGCTTAAAAGGAGTCATAAATTATAAACCCTTTAAAAATCCATGGGAGTGGGTGGGGGAGGCAGAAGGCAACTTAATGATGTTTTAGGGCCTATTTGTAACCAGGCCCACAATCTAAATTTGCTTGGGCTCTAAAATATGATTACAGGGTTGTCCCCAACCCCACCCCAGCTCCTTACAGTGACTATTGATGCACTCACTGTTGAAGTAACTTGAAAAAGTGAAACTTTCAATAAGAAATTGGTCTCATCCCACCCCTGCCCCAATGACGTGTGTAGCTCCCTTCCAATGGGGCTCTGTTGGATCACAGTCCTCCTCCTCACCCAGGCCCAGCTCCATAGCTAAACCTACCAGGAGCAAGCCACTGAGCAGCAATCACAAGAATCAAGTGTAAGTCGTGCCTCCCCCGAGCTGGGATATAGGTGCTGGACAACATACTTCCCTACCTGCCCTTATGTTCTTCCGTTCTCCACCGATGATGACGCTCTACAAGACTTTCGTCTTCCTCCCAGCCCATCTCCAGCACTCTGCCTCACACCAGCCAGCCCCAAATCTGGGTCCCACTCCCAGTCACATCTTAGATCTACCCATGTTGGCAGAATGAACTTCTCAGAGCTGCTGCTTCTGAGTAATGTCTTTTCCCCTAACTAGGCCTTGCCTAAATCAAACCAGAACACGCTGGCCTTGGCTACACAGCTGAGGACAGCACAGCTGGTCTCAGTCACTGGCCACCTCACTCCATCTGGGCCATGAGAAGGTGACCTCACCTAGCTTCTCATCTGCACTTGGGTCCGCAGGTGCCAAGGTCTGCCAGGCCGACCAAGTTCCCACGTCGTCTTAAATCCCACCCAGTGGGTTTGCATCACTGCCCTGTAAATTTAGGCTCTATCAGCCAGAAACCTCTGTGTTTGGCAAAATGACATTCTCTGTTTCAACAAGTTGTGAGTGATTTAAAAGATACATAATCTTACTGCTGTTAAGGCATCCATGTGAACTGAGCATGGAAGGGAGTCCAGCGTCCAGCTTCCACATCTCAGCCAAGCACGGCCTTATTCTCCAGTTAGCCTTCCTGAAGTGATGTAAACACACACACGCACACACGCACACGCACGCACGCACCAAGGCATACACACGTTGTTCCTTTCTGAAAATGGGCTTGGAGAAAGGAAAAAAATACTAAAAGCTAAAAAGGCAAAGACATAATGCTTAATCAGAAAACAGAGCTCTAGGATAATTTCAGAATTGAATGGTAAATTTGGTGATAGCTAAAATGAACAGATCCATCATATATTTCTGATGGAAATATGAAAATAAGTGATTCTCAAGCAAATGCTCCCACCAGAGCAAGAACTGCACATCGTATAGGACCTCATAAGCAAACATGGGCAATCCAGAGGCCTTGGGATCCTTCAGGAATGTCCAAGGCCTGCTGTACTAGCATTGCCAAGAGGAAAATATAATTATTTTGAAGGTACTGTTAAGACAATGTTTCCTGCCCATTGGCAAATGGCAAAGCCAAAGGTAGGTTCTCATACGATGTTCTTACCTGGTCATCATAGCGATAAGTGAGGAACTGCTCCCCTGTTGTGTCCTCCAGAAAACTTCCCTGAGGAGAGAGCGCGAACTCGGGAAGGAAGTAGGCTCCAGGAGACTTCTCTGCTGTGGTCTGAAAGGCAAGATCACCTGGTCACAAAAAGGACTTCGTTAATGACCCCCTGGCAGGTAAAGTCCAAACTGGACATTCCAAGAGAATGAACCCACTAAAAGTTATGCCAAAAAAAGGAAAGGGAAGCTCCCTCTCTTGTCAAAGACCAAGTGAGGCCCACCAAGCATCTGTGTGGGGCACTGCTAGGCCAGGTCACCATGCTGGCCCGTCTCAAACTGGCACACGTGGTTCATTCCCTGACATCTGCCCTTCCCTGCCCCCTCCTCCCTCCACTCTCCGCCTTCCAGCAATTCAACCACAGGGCAGTTAAACTTTAAGTTTGGTAGTTGCAGATCTATTATTTTTAGATTTCCTTCCTTCTTTCCTTCCCTCCCTCCTTCCTTCTCCCCCTTCTTCCTTCCTCCCTTCCCTCCTTTATTGTTGGCAAAAGAGTGGGAAACAAAATTTTTTTGCCATACTTCAACAGAAATACATGTTCATCGTAGAAACTTCAGAAAACACAAACAAGCACAAAAGATAATAAAAATCACCCATAATTCCTCAACCTGTCGTAACTACTTTTAATTGTTTGGGTATATTTCCTTTGAGACTTCTTTAATTCTTTTTATGTTTATACAAAAATACAAGGTTAAATAAACATAGGTTTTGCAGAAAGACTTCGTTTGGTTTGTGGAAAGCTCATACCCTGGCATCTGAATTTTTAGACTAACGCTCTAATGGTTGGGGTCTGAGGCGAGCCAGGAAGAAGGGAGTGTGCCTTGGATGTGATGGCCTAACAGACTTACTACCACCATGCTACCACCTCCTCCTGTGAGAGCCCGTCAAGGGGAAGTTTGAGGTGCGGGGTGCTCCCCGGGTCACTGCCTTGGTGAGTTCAAGGAGGAGAGCAAGGAAGGAGGCAGAATCCCCAGCGCTCAGTTCCACCCAGTCAGAAAACATGGCTCAACGACTGTGCCCCCACCAGAAACCTCACTCCCCCTGCTTGCGAAGGGATGAGTAAGAAATAGAGGGAAAGGCCACAGGCAGTACCGTAAGGAGGAGCAGGAAATAAATGTAGTCCTCTAATACCTCTGCTGCCCCCATGGACTCGTTCCCAAACTGCAGCAGGAGCTATGGTTGAAGCAAGAACAACCCTTTGAACACCACATTTTTTTATTCTATTTTTGTTTTTCTTTCTTTTTTTGCTTTTTTTTTTTACTCTTCTACTCCAGTGAGTATGAACACCGCATTTTAAAAAGCAAAGTCAACACAGGATAACTTTGTCAAGGAACACAGAAAACTTCCCCAGATTAGATAATCTAGACAGCACTAGACTGTTAAAATAATTTCAAGATTTTCTTATTAAACTTTATTTACATGAAAGATTTAGCGCAACTATTGTCAATTGCCTCTACTGGCTTCAGAATTCATAGATTTATAATTTTAAATGCCTAAAGAGACCTTTGTGAAGTCATCTAGGCCAAACTCTTTATTCTATAAATGATCTGAGACTTAGGTGACTTCTCAATTTCCACAGAGCCAGGCCTAGAGCCAGAGCTGGAACCTGTTAGCAGCCATGTGCAAAGGCCCAGGCAGATCCATTTAGTTGACTGTGTATTCAACATACACTTACTGAGCACCTACTACATGTCTGGCATGTGTCTAAGTGCTATGGATACAATGAGGAACAACAAAGATCAGGTTCCTATTTTCGGGGAGGTTACATTCTAGTGGCGGGGATACATAATACAATAAGTAAACAAATATATAAGCAAGAAAACTAAAGTTTTAAGTGCTCTAAAGGAAATAAACAGGGTGATAGGAGAATAAAGTGCCAGTAGGGCTGTTTCATTTTAGATAAGATGGTCAGTAAAGGCACCCCTGAGAAGCTAAGATTTCAGACAATAACTAAAGCATAAGAAGGAGCCAGTTATGCACAAAGCCAAGGATGATATTCCTGGCAAAAAGAAGGGCAGGTACCAAAGCCCTAAAGGAAAGGAGGTCAGTGTGGCCAGACTCAGTGTGGACAAGTAAGAGAGTGGCATGAAGTGGAGAAAGATCTGAAACGATCCCAGGCATATGGGCCATGGCAAAGGGTGGGAGAACCACGGGTGAGTGAGTATTTAAACCACACCGATGGCTTCATGCACAACGGGCTAACAGGAGGCAAATGGAATCATAAAGACTAGCTGGAAGGCTGTTGATATGAATCCAGGCGAGACAAGATGGCTCCTTGGGCTGGGATAATGGCAGTGGAGAAGAACAGAGGTGGATGGAGCAGGAGAACCAACAAGACTTACAAATGAGGGAGGAGGAGGGAGAAATCAAGGTGATTTCTGGGCTTTTGGCTTGAGCAACAGGCTGTAAAGGAACATAACAGATGGGTAGCCCTGAGGCAGGAATGGATTTGTTGGAGAGGGGTAGAGTCAATAGTTCTGTCTGAGTCTTATTAAATTTGAGATGTCCATGAGACATTCATGTGGAGAGCTTGAGCTGGCTGCTCAGTAGGCAAATCTGGAGCTCAGAGAGGAAGTCTGTCTGAGGCAAGACAGAGGTTTGGAAATCCTCACTTACATGTTCATACGTATAAACATGCACACATGTATCTACAGTCGCTATACCAGAAAGGCCCCTCCCTAGAGAAAGGGTTTGGCAGGCAAGAGAACTTTGCCTGGCACCCTCAACAATCCTAAAATTTGAAAATAAGTAGAGGAGGAAGTAAAAGAAACTAAAAATGGTCCTCAATTAGAGAAGAATAAAGAAAAAAATAAATACTGGGTCATAAAAGGACTTAGCGTCAAAGAGAGCAGTCAACTGTCTTGAATGCTGCTAAGAGATTGAGGAAGATGATGCCAGAGAAGCGTCCACTGGATCTGGCAACAAGGAGGTCACCGCTGACCTTGGCAAGGGTGGTAGCAGGGCAATGGGTTTGGGGAGTGACAGGTGAAGAGGAAGTAGAGACCACGAAGGGGCAACAGCTAGAGAGGGACATGGGATTGCAGGTGGATTTTTTTAAAGATAGGAGATACTGGAGCTCATTTGTTTGGTTACTGGAATAATCCAGGAGTAAGAGAGAGAGCAGTGGAGGAGACAGGAGAGAAGGAGGAGCAAAGCCCTTGAGAAGGAAGAGGGACGAGCTCCGGATTGCATGCAGGTTTGAGGACACTTCATCCATGTCGCTTCACATCAGGTCATGTTTCTTTGCTGACCCTGACGCTGCGCCTCCATCTCCCCTGTGCGTACTCCTTGGGTACTCCTTGCGTACTCCTCTACTGGGTCCCAGGGACACCTGGTCCCAAGGTCGTCCATCTGTCCCTATCACCCCCCTTTCCTCCCACTCAGCTTTCTTACCACATAGCTGGCTCTCCTTCCTGGGCCCCTCTGCAACTGCCCGACTGCGAAAGAGCACGCTTCCCTCCCAACAACGGCCTTTTGCGGCAAGGTGGGACAGACCTAAGCTTGACGTGGACAAAACCTTCTGAAGTCCCTTTTTAATTAATTAATTAATTTATTTATTTTTTTGAGGCAGAGTCTCACTGTGTTGCCCAGGCTAGAGTGCCGTGGCATCATCCTCGCTCACAGCAACCTCAAACTCCTGGGCTCAAGCGATCCTTCTGCCTCAGCTTCCCAAGCAGCTGGGACTACAGGCATGCGCCACCGTGCCCGGCTAATTTTTTCTATGTATTTTTAGTTGTCCAATTAATTTCTTTCTATTTTTTTAGTAGAGACGGGGTCTCGCTCTTGCTCAGGCTGGTTTTGAACTCCTGAGCTCAAACAATCTGCCTGCCTCGGCCTCCCAGAGAGCTAGGATTATAGGCGTGAGCCACCGCGCCCGGCCTGAAGTCCCTTTTTGTAACACCATAACACTTCTCTACTACCAGAGTATTTGCTCACTGTGTTTCTATACTATTAAGAACAACTACAAACGTTTCGTAAGCTCCAATGAGGTTTTTTTTTCTCTGCTTAAATTCAGATTGGGTAAAATGGTACATTTGCCTATTCTAGGCTTCTCTCTCCTCCAAGGTCCATTTTGGAGGACGTTCTTTAAGGCTGAGGACAGTGACTCCACCACATTTGCAGCCAGCACAGTAGGTGCCTGCTACAGTGTCTGGTGCGTGGCAGGTGCGAAACGAAAGACTGGTGGGTTGTGGCACCTGAGCCGTGGGGTAAAGACCTGCTCCTTGGCAACCCCAATTCCCCCGTGGGAGTTCAGGGTTACTAGTCCCTGGGTTAAACCGGATTCTCTCCACACCCACATCACACTCCTCATTGCAATAAACAACGAAGATTTTACATTTACCGCTTTTCATCGAAATCCTTAATCCCAAGTAAATTTTCAACCATTCAGCAGTTGAATCCACAGCCTGGCTGCAATCCAAGTCCTCTCCCTCTGTAGTATCGAGGGTGCAGCGAGATCACTGTGTGCCACTGTGGTTGTCTGAGGTTTTGAATAGCTGCACTGTGGCATCCCATGACTATGAAAGCACCGCCCCAGAAGGAACCTTCCCAGCCTGCCTCCCTCACCAATCCTGCAAGATGCCCCGCAGCCCCTATATGAATACCTTCAGTGATGGGGCGCTCACTCTCTCTCAAGGCAACAGGGGTCTGTCAGAATCTAGCCAATTCACAGGTTTGCAGATACCAAACTAGTCTGAAGTGGCCCATTGCTCTCCAGCTGAGGCACCCTGGACAACAGCACCTTCCCGTGGCATCCTCCTTCCTCCTCCCTCCCACCCACCCACAAGACACACACATCTAAGCTGAATTTGAAGGAACAAATACCTGAGCTGTGGAACTGTAGAATTAGAAGGAATGTTAGAGACAGTCCAGTCCTAACCCCCCTCCCAAGGCAGGACTTTCTCCTGCAGCACCTGCAATAGTCAGACACAACTGATTCGACAGAGGCCCTTTGATGGGGAAAAAGGAAACTCAAGTTTTTGAGCTAGGATTTGTGCAATTGTCTCATTTTGTCCTCACAAATGCCCTGTGAGGTGGGTGCCATTAGCCTCATTTCACACATG